GAAAACCCCCCGGTGCTTGTTTGTAAAGAGATAAAATGTGAGGTTTTTAAATTATATTGGGTTTTTTTTTTTTTTTTTTTTTTTTTTTTTTTTTTGAAATGTCAAAAACTGACCCAAAGACGGGGACACGACAGTCTCTTCTGTGGAACTATTTTCCGAGTCCACCAGGGTGTACTTTGACCTGTGGTTTGTTATTCCTCACACTGGATTTACATAAGCTTAGCCTTTTTGCTCTCAATAACCTTTTAGTAATTAGCACTATAACTCCTAGCACTTTGTTGTATTACAGCCTTAGTCAAACCTGAACATGATCCCGGTGCTAACCAGCTGTTCAGCTGAAGTATTGGAGCAGAGCTGATTCCTTTTTCCAACCACTAGAATCATGCAGTATGTCAGGCCAGATATCTGATAATCTTAGCTTTTAGAGTTTTATATTCATATTTTGCTCCTTTTAACTAAATGCCATGTAATTGTTTTTAGATTCTGTACTTTGCTTGTATTCTGTGAATTTTCATCTTGCCTTTTACTTGCAGTGTATGGGACTATAAAGTAGTAATTTATTTAAATTAAAATGATGTAGTAACATTCTGAACCGTTTTAAACACTACAATATTCTCACTACCCACTAAAACAAGAGCTTATTTAAGAGCTATTTATTCTTGATCAACACGTAGAGAGATATGTAGACCCTGCATTTTATTTTCCTTGAAACCCAAGAAATTAAATGCATGTAAACATGCATTCCACAGTTCTGTTCTGAAGAATTACAAAATGACCATCCGCCCTGGTGGATCATTTCTGATTATGGCAGATGAGCCATTGATTTTTTCTTTCCATTGCTGGCTGTAGAGCACTTGCTTCTGTACACAACAGTTTTTCTCCAGCACCATGGAAACTGGCAGAGTATAAATGATGCAATACGATGCTTATTTGATATCAGACTTCACACTGAGATAAAAGCAGCTTTGGGTCAGACCATCTCAAAGTCCACTATTCTGTTTTACTCTGAGCCTTAAATTCTTTGTTTTCTCCATAAATGGAGTCAGTGACGTAGACAAAACCCCCTCCATGTACTGCAATGATCCTTTGACTTGTCCTTCAGACAGCTGAGAGCAGGCTGATTACCTACTACTGAGGTAATCTTCTAAGTACCTACATCTGCTGACGGCCCAGGTTCTGGAGAAAAAAAAACAATTTGAAAGGTTAAAAAATGCAGGCAGTGAGTTAGTAAAGAATTATGTGTTAAGACCAATATGTGTACAGCATGTAAGCGCTCTTTTAGGATCCTTAAACATTAACAGGCTTGATTATCTAAAAATAACAGAAGACAACACCGACACTAGCTCCAGTCATATTTCTAAAGCTGTGTAGTTATCCTCTTTAAGTGAAAATTTGCAATATTTTTTTTTTATTATTATTTAGGAAGAATTAGTTGGAAAATATTGCCAGCAATGTCTATCAAACTTCCTCCAATAACTTTGGACACCAATACCAAACTGACCTTTGAAAAAAGGTCAGTTTCTGATTTGCCTATATTAAATTATTTCTTTCTTGTTTTGTCTTGTGATAATACCAAAAGAAAATATATTGGAAGGTGGGTCTGGATTTTAAAGCCTGTATACAAAATTACAAAATTATTAGTATAAGACCCCGCCTCTCACCCAAAATGTTAACTGGAGATAGGCACCAGCAGCCCTCCTGACCCCACTAAGGGACAAGGGTGTATAGAAAATGGATGGATCTAGATAGTACTTCTAAGGATTCTTTAAATCTGTGAACATCACGTGTTTGTTGGAGGCTGCAGAGTTCTCAGTATTATACTCACTAGGCCTTTTAAAGCCCAAAGAGCCAATGAGGCAGTTGAGAAGAGGGAACTGAATGAGAAAGTCAGCAATGGGAATTCACATGTAGGTGTTTGTAGGGATATTGGACATTCAGACTGTATTTAGGGCTGCAGGAAACCTGATCTGCTTCATTTGTCAAAGCAGATCTTTTCTTTCTGTAGACGGTGTCAATTAGATTCTTGGATCTCTCTTTCCAGTGCCATGGGGAGAAACTGGAGATAACTGGCTGGAGGAGCCTAATGACCTCCTGCTAGACATCAACAAACCCATGTTGGCAAATTATTTAGTTGGGTTTCATAATTTTGTGTTTAACTATGTTGCTGTGATGTGAGACTTTTCTTCAACAAATATACATAAATGTTACCTGTTTGTTGAAAAACAGATGTTTCTCTACTTGCTATAATAAATATAAATGTAAAGCCCTGCCTTCCTACATAACTCCAGTTTTCTTCCATAGGCTTGTCTCATAATAAAAAAAATTGCAACCTTCTTTGACATTAGAAGCACTATTTTAAATTAGTCACAATCTTATTAGGATTTAATCACAAAATAAATAAAAATGTAAGAGGCTCATCTGGTCACTTAAGTTGAAAAAAAAAATAGGCAGAAAAACAAATGAGCAAAAAAAAAAAAGCAGAAAAGCCACCTAGGTGTATGGAGCTGATCTGAGTTTGGTCCTCTGCTGTATGTCTTTAGTTCTCAGCTGTTTGTGGTTGTCCTGACTCAAGACAAACTGTGAAGGAAGCTTGGCAACTTGGTCTTCAGATAACTGCAGTTCCTGGCACTCATTGTCTCTGTGGGAAAAAAAATACAGACGGTCAGGCTTTAAACTGGCTTATCATTTATTCTTCATGGAGAATATCTGATAAGCCACTAAGACACAAACTCACGTGAGAACGTAGTTCACACTGACCACGCAGTGAGGTCTGGAAGATCGGCTGTTGTGGACAACGGTTGCATAGCTTTGCACCCACACCCAGCCTCCATGTTTTACTAACATGCGGTAATACTTTGTTGTCACTTGTCCTTTAATGAGTACTAAAAGAACACAAAGACCATAATCAGACAAAATTAGTAAAATCTTTCAGGGTCTGGTGGACCTTCCATGTTTTACTTCTGCTAACTCTAGTTAATACAGCACTTTGGTGCAACTGGGAAGTAAGCTTAGCACCTTGGTTTTCAGATAACTATCATTGGTAAACTAGTGGAAACTGACTGCTATGTTACTATAAACCTAAAAGTCAGTTTCAAAAATCACTGTTGATGAGCATGAGTGGCTGGGTTTGAACTTTAACATTCAAAAATACCAATCACTTGTACAATATGTAATGTGAAGGATTTTAAACTGAGAGACAACCACAAAATAAAAGTTAAACTAGGATGTCTTAAAGACTGTGAAACTTAGGCATTCTGTGGGGTAAAGGAAAATGTTATTGCAGTGGAATCACCAATTGTCCATTTTATTTTTAGGGTTTCCATTTTTATAGTTATTTTTAGAGTTTTAGAGGTCTTTTCATATTCCTTACTTAATTGCAAATTAACTGAAAATATTCCCAGAGATTTAGAAAACTCACATAAATGGTGTGCATAGCGTAGGTGTAGAACATCACATGTGTGAACATGGTGGTAGAGGGTTTTCTCAATAAGATCTTGAGGCTCAAAGCCTGTCAGCTCAGCAACGCTGGCTCCAGCACAGTAGAGGACACAAGTTAGACACTTATCTCAAAAGCAAAGGGCTGCAGTGACGTGGTTAGCAACAGCCAATATTTGAAAACAGCTATATAAAGAACATATTTTTACATGTCTGGGTGAGATTCTTCAGGAAGCAGCAAATGTGTCTCCTACCTTATGTCCAAAAAGATGAGTTTTAAGTCCAGGTTTGCCCGAAACATAAACATGTTGCTGTGAAGTTTGATCTCAGTGATCCCACTGGGGGGCAGGGAATGGCCGACTCCCACCAAACCCACAATCTGATAACAGCATTCATACAACGTCATCTCAGTCCTGTGTAGACTGAGTTTTAGGTAGCCACTGCAATGGATCACCTAGAAAACAGCATGACAGTTCTACTATCCCATGGTACTTCATATACACACAAGGACAACATGGTTGGAGGTCTCTTAATGACTGAAAAGTCTGCAATGGTCTTCAATGTGACCATTGTGGTCTTCTAGCCCTGTGACTGGAACCTAGCTTTCTGATATTAACAGTACATTTCTCTCCAGAATGCCTTGATAGTCTTGCAATTTCATCATACTCTGCACAGATTCGAAGCACCCTGTACCAGATGCAGTAAAGCAGACCCCGAACAGCTTGTAGAAGTGGTTTGCTATGTCCTCTCCTTTTGCAAAAGCTTGGTTGAAAACTAATAAACTTCTGTGGTTCTTTTTTATGTAGTTTAAGAAAAATACCTATCATCTTGTGTCCTTGTTGACAAGGACACAGAAAATTATTTCATATTGCTTGTGGGGCTCTTTGGATGAGATGAAGTAATTTAATGAACCTTCAAAACAAATTGAAAAAAGATTTAAAGGGGTACAAATGTGAAAATTATTGCACATTTGTACCCCTTTTTTTTTTTTACAAAATAGAGGATGTAGTAGCCCAGTATTTCTGACAGTCAGTTTAAGAAAGTCACTAAGAATACTGTTGAAAAGCCAATTTATTTCAGAACAGTGGACAAAATCTTTGCTTGTTCAATAAGTAGATCATAGTAATAAATCAATCAATCAAATTTTATTTGTATAGCACATTTCAGCAGCAAGGCATTTCAAAGTGCTTTACATTATAACAAACACAAATGACAAAGGTTTTGAAAACTTTTCTCAATTCAGATGACTTTATGTTAGTGAATAAAAAAATAAATGCAGAAATGTAGATTTAATTAAAAGTATATTTATCTTTTGATTGTTATGCATTCTGGGATTAACATTTATTATATCAGTCTCTGTGTCCCCTATGTAGTTAAGTCCATCATGACTGGGTTCCAAAAGTAAACTGGATACTGTCATGTCTGTCTGATAATTTTATGGTTGCCGATGGACAGAATGTAAAGGAATAATAGTGAAAAGATGGGTGAGAAATGGTGGTGAACTTCAGGATGTTTGCTTTTTGCAGATGAAGCAGCTGGAGTGAGACTGGGGCTA